CATGTTATAAGTATACTTATAAAAATACATAGAATTATTCCATGTACCTCTTTCTATACAGATATTTTTAGATGTATAGTCATTATGTCCTTTTTATACAGATATAAATGTATTTGTAGTCTAGCTTTTAAATATTATGTATATACATATGTCATATGTCTCTTGCTGTACAGATGCTTTTATAAAGATATTTGCGTTATGTAGTCTAGCTCTTTTTGTACAGATAATTCTTTAAAGATATTTACGTTATGTAGTCTAGCTCTTTTTATACAGATAATTTTATAAAGATATTTACGTTATGTATTCTAGTCCTTTTATACAGATAATTTTATGAATATATTTACGTTATGTATTCTAGCTCTTTTTATACAGATAATTTTATAAAGATATTTAAGTTATGTATTCTAGTCCTTTTATACAGATAATTTTATAAATATATTTACGTTATGTATTCTAGCTCTTTTTATACAGATAATTTTATAAAGATATTTAAGTTATGTATTCTAGTCCTTTTATACAGATAATTTTATAAAGATATTTACGTTATGTATTCTAGCTCTTTTTATACAGATAATTTTATAAAGATATTTAAGTTATGTATTCTAGTCCTTTTATACAGATAATTTTATAAATATATTTACGTTATGTAGTCTAACTCTTTTTATACAGATAATTTTATAAATATATTTACGTTATGTATTCTAGTCCTTTTATACAGATAATTTTATAAAGATATTTACGTTATGTATTCTAGTCCTTTTATACAGATAATTTTATAAATATATTTACGTTATGTAGTCTAACTCTTTTTATACAGATAATTTTATAAAGATATTTACGTTATGTATTCTAGTGCTTTTATACAGATAATTTTATAAAGATATTTACGTTATGTAGTCTTTTAAGTCAAGCGTTGTCAATCTTTATTAACTTAAAAAGAGCAACTTTAACTTCATTCCATTTCTGCTTCAAAATATTGCCACTGTTTAAAGACTATAGTTCGCAATTTTCAGGGGCTTATTTGAGTTTTGAAAATATGTAAGATAGTTTTCACTGTCCATATACTTCAATTCAATTTTTCTATATAATGTCTTTTCCATGTTACGGAGTATCAAGAAAAAAAAAAAGATTTAAATGCTCTTAAATGACAAAAGGTATATTTGATGTGATGCAAGAAAGTGAAAATTGAGAAATTTAGAAAAATATCAAAAGAATTTGAAATATTCTGTTTTGTGTCCTGTGTGGTCTTTACTCATATGTAGTACTGTCTACATTTGATACACCATTGATGGTGTTCGAGTTAGGCCATACCTATCCCTTGATACAACAGTGTCAAATAATTCTCATATTCTTGTCTTGAATGACTTATCATTATTGTGCTACTTACCCAATTATTCAATTATAAAACTATTGACAAATGTGTTGATGAAGCAAATGGAATATAGGACGGCTTTTACAATTTGCGATGACCTCTTCTGATTGGTCGAGAACAAGATCATCAAAATTAGTTACCTGTTGGTTTGGATCTAGCTTTACTGACAAGAAGGACAAGTTTGTTTTTTTTTTAAAAATCCAGGACTTTGATTCGGGCTCAACCTTCAGTATAATTGACTTTAAACAACCGAATATAGAATAATCGAACAGAACATGTCTTCTGATCATCATTGATCATTATCTCACATTGTGCTGAAAAGTAGGACGTAAAACTACATTTATTTCATTTCATTGGATAATTATCAGTTTCCTTTTAAAGAACAACCATCAGGGAATTCGACATAATGATAAATGTAGATGTGAATGCATTGAAGAATTACACAATGAATATTTTCTGATATTATTTATTTCAATATCAAAGTGGTTTCATATACAAAGTAAAATATGAATAATATATGTTCGTCTTTACAACAAAATAAATGCAAGAAGTATCAAATATTATCACAATATTGTATTATGACGTCACGTAATTCATTCACAAATTATGTTAATAAGCTAATTAATATACAAGGTATTATGGTGGTATATGAAAGACATAATAGTATTAATATTTACAAATCTGGGAGGGAATAGATCCCTATATTTTTTTAAATACAAAGATTAATTTACAACAAATTTGATCTTTGACCTTTAAACATTCATTGAATTTAGCAAATCCAAAAGGATTTAAAAATGCTTCAAAGATTTGCAAATATATTTTGTCATTTTGTTTGTGTAACATATTTCAAATAAAAAAAAATTGAAAATATTAAGCATTCAAATAATTAGGTTCAAAACAAACAACCACAAAAGAAATATTTAACGTATTCCCGTTTAGAAAAAAAAGAAACACAATAGATTGAGAATGATGGATAGCAAAAGAAAGGATTTTGACGTAATGAATGAATGAATGAATGAATGATGTTTTGAAAGTATACATTAACATATTATTATAATACACGTTTTACATGATGACAAACCAAGACTCCCTGATTATAACATTTTGAAAAAAAAAAACAAATTTCATTTTGAAAACATTTTAACCATTGTAGGCATATCAGAGCCTTTTATGTTTAATGTATATGGCGATGAATTAGAAATAAAAAGGTGGATAACTTTTGTTAAAATACAATGTTTCTGAAAATACATTTTTTTCGTTTCATAAAAAATAATTCTTTAAGAAAGTTTCCGCAGCTGGTTTGTATGTTTGGAAAGTTATCCCACCTTAAAATTTTGTCTGATAAGGGCATGCAATTTAATACTTAACATGTCTACATTCAAGTTTGGATTAGTTTGACATTATTTGAGGTCAACCTTTCACACCCAATTTTCTACTTTAACTATGTTTGGTCAAGCCATTGAAACGACTCATTATGACGAAGCGACATAGAGCATTGGCCTAAAAATCACCTCTTAAAAGGCAATAAACAAGTTGAATACATGAGAGGATAATTGCCCCTCATTCTCAACTAAGTTCAATTTACATCGATCTTTATCAAAGAAATCAGGTGTAATTAAATATATAGTAATCTATAAAATTGTGTATTACGTTATAATGTCTACATTTAGATGCTTATCAAAGCCCCGTGTTTAAAATCGAAATCGAAAGTTGTGTTTGATCTCGGCGTATATGCTTGTAAAAGTGTAAAACCAAATGACTTTTACTGATTTGTTTCACTGAAATTAATCTAAACGATTATATTTTTTAAGCAATTTGTCGATTTTGTGTAGCCATAAAGGAATGAATTGAACAGAAGTGTCTTCATGATTAGAAACAGATTTTGAAATAAAAATAAATTTCAAACACCATAATTATTTTGTTAGTTTTTGAAAAAGATATGTGTCAAGATCTTCGATCATTCAGTCAAGTGTCAAACAAAAAGATTAGTTCACAGTCTGAATGAAACTGAACAGCAGTTGTCAAGTTCTGTGAACATTTACATTCAAGTGTCAAACAGCATGATTTTTTGAGACTTTTAAAGTGTCAATAATCATGATGTTTTACAATTTAAACATTCGATATTGTACAATGTTACAAACATTTCTTAACTGTTATCTCAATATGGAAATGTCACAAGCCAAGGTAAAAAAAATTACAAACAAAATAGCTAGAAAACGATGAAATTTTAAGCCACTGAGAGATGTAACTGCAAACTTTAACTAAAGTCTTATGAGGTTCATATTTTTTTCCAATGTTAGCGCATATGCTTGAATGCAGACGTTACAAACCCAAAATAGATGGGTGTTAATACCCATTACAAAAATTTTTGCACATTTGCCTTAATAAGACCTTTCAAGTGGAAAACCCTTAAATCAAAGGATTTTTTTCTATCCGGAGCTTTCGCACATTAGCCTTAATCCAGTCGTAGCAAGTGTGAACAACTCCTTATATTGTCTTCACACATTAAACAATTATATGAAAGATTGCCTTAGGTCATACAAGGAAATGGTGGTATTTTACATAAAAGTAGCTATAACGCCTAATTATTATGTTGATGACTTAAAGTTATTTAGTCATAACGGTTTACTTTAGGCTACTAAACAAAGCTATTTATTGTTGTGGTTTGGCTTTGTGGTCCACCTGTTGAAAATGCTTTAACATCATATTTTTTAGTTTAATTTCAAACAGTCACGTAACTATAATATAATGTATATGTACAAATTTCAAAAACATAAACAAAAGCATGTGTCATTAAGAAAGTTTTCCAAAAAATATCCTGCATGATCCTTTAAGCCATTTTATTTGAGTAATATCATATATCAAGGGTAAACTTTACATATCGAAACCGTTTATCACGGTCTCACTACCTAAATGCATATATACCCAAAAATACAGATCTATATCCATGCTAATGCATTATATATTGCATATATAAGGGATCACTTTGTATGAAAAGAAATATTCAACCCTTATATTATGATCTCAATGTTTGATGTTTCAGAGATCTCATCCCTTTATAAATTGCCTGCACACAATTCAAAAGCAAACGTAAACGCCCTTTGAATATAGGAAACTAACTGGACCAAGAGAATATCGAGAATATAATTCAGACACTAACAATAACTATAATGGATTGCTTATTGATTATTTGATCATGTTCTTATGTATTGATCTTTCACCAAACAATATAACAATTATATGCAACCGATTATTCTATAAAAAAAAAAACACTTTTACGTTAGGCTATATCAATTTTTCGTAAAATCCACTTTCTTCAGTTTTGAGTCAATCATAGTCTTTTGATGAAAAAAAAGTATACCTGATCGACATCTTTTAAGATGCATTAAAATGGTGAGATTTATTTCGATTGCTGCATTACCTGCGGTTTAGAAAAAGGTATTTTCTAGCACTATACGATTGTAAGGAGATTCAATATTATATACACACATTTTGTACATTTTTAATATATAACGAAAACGAAGAGGTATATAAGGGAAAGGTTAGCACATTATTAGGAAAGTTCTTTGATTTGAGTAGAACAAGTTAGTTCATTAAAGGTATAAGGATCCTAAGAATTCTGTATGTCTCATCTGTACATGGACTGAACTCTACGAACTTGATATCCACCAGGGCGGCGATCGTAAACTTCCAGAAATTGAGGATCCTGTTGTTGTTGTTGGCCACGTCGTATCTGGATAGGAGAATAAGAATTTTTGACATTATCCATTTCTCGAGATAAAACTTCCTGTGGCATACTGTTGGCCAAATTTCCACCCCGGGATCCACCAGGTCGCCTCATCTCCACATAATCAGGTGACAGTTGGTAATCTGTTGGTGGGCTTTTCAATTTTAATCGATAATCATACTCGTCATCTCTCTCGTCTGAATGTCGTGAGTTGCTGCTGTGGCGGGAACCATCACTTCTATACGTGTAACCATTGTAATTGGTTGGGGCACTGCGTCTGGCACCAAGAGGGCTATGTTCCACTGGTCGTCCTTTGCCATAATATGTATTATCAACTCTAGGGCTATTTGGTACATATTGTGAATCAAAGCGAGGACTATTTGTGCCATAAGTTGGATCTACACGAGGGCTACGGGGAGGGTAGGCGAATTCGCTGCCATGTGCTGGTGGAGTTGATGGTGAAGTATTACCAGAAGAGAAGATAGTTGGTCGGCTGCTATTCTCAGAACTGCTCGGAGAAGGGAGATCGATTCCACTTTCACCTGATGAATTTCTCATTTTGAGGTTTTGATGGTTGTTTGATTGGTTTTCAGTGTGTATACCACCAACGATATTCAGCTGTAAGCATCGACGTTTTTCGTAGTCCATGAGGTTGCCCCGGGCTCTGCTAATGGTGTCATAATCTTTGGGAGGTAAGAGAATTGGGGCACTTTCTTTCAGTTCCGCTAATCCAAGACGTGACCGCAACTCATCGGCAACGGAATCGTACAATTTAACGTCTTTTAAACTTTGTAAATCAGAGTCTATTTCGTAATTATTGAATGCAGGAGAATCGTCATCACCACTAAAGTTACTACCATTAGATCCAGTGGCCGAATCATTGGTGTGTTGATCACTCATATTATCAGGTAGATCTAAACGTTCGATTTCTCCCCAACTGGCTAGTTTCTGTTCTTCGTCCACAATACGATCCCTGTTCATATCTACAATTTGAGACAAAAGTTTCACAAAGGTAGAAGCAGTGTCCGGTTCGTCAAATCTATAAACGTGAACGTGTACATATTTTTGTGTACGGGGCATGAATCCTAGATATATACAAGCTACAGTATCGTCCAAACGTCCGCTCGCATCTCGACTTTGAACTGCGTACGTAACATCCCTGGAAGGAATTGTTGGGAAGCGGACTTTCTTAATGTTCCGTTTCTTTTTGTCTTCACAATCTTGAGAAACTTTTATTTCCTTTTTGCTTACTTGAAGAGTCAATTTAGGTGGTGTGTCCATATTCCGTTGTCGACGTCGAAGTTCACGTATCACTGGTTCTGTATAGTATTCACCTTGTAATCCACGGCATTCCATCCAACCTAGAAATTCCACATAAAACTGACATTTCTTACTTCCCAACAAATCCTTATCCTTTTCCTTATTTCTTCCTGAAAACAGCGACATTTTCACAGATCGAGTTAATAATCCAAGAAATCTTCAGCAAAACCGCTACACCTGTCGTGTAACGTCCGTGAAAAAATATATCACTGAATAGGGTTAAATAAAAAACACCTTTCGAGATCACCGCTCACTATATTTCATTAGAAAAATACACTAGTAGTTATTATTCCAACAAGATCAAAGCCTTACTGTATTGTCAACTCAAGTCAATTGAATGTTGATCAAACAGAAATAATACAGAAGAAGCGATCTGGCCCCAACTCACTCCCTTCTCAATTGAAATACTTATATATTTATTTAATCTACATCAAAATCTCGCGTGAGTATACTCTTAAAGTTACAACACTCCGTCTTCGCTTCGGTTGGTTGGCACACAGCCAATGTCGTTGGATAGCTGATCAACTAACGAGTCGATTGTATCAGACGACACGAGATTCCCGCCACAAGATGAACAGACGAACGTTTACCGAACCAGTAAAACAGAATGCCAATTAACATTCGTCACTTTAATTATATTGGACCGATAAATTTCTAGAAAATATGTTCAGACAAGAATTTCTTGATATTGTCGTGGATGATCCTGTTTTGTTCGCTCGCTCTTCGGTTTTTGTTAAATTTTAAAACAGATGTCAAACGAGATGTAAAAGAATAGCCTCTTTATATAGGGGATGGGTCACATGTTTTAAATTCCTTAAATTTCATTATATGATAACGGACGTGTAATAATTTTATGAAAAGAAATTTCCACCAATGCGGTACACTTAAGAAATGTTTTGCTTAACAAAAAACTATTATTATAGCTGTCCTAACAAGCACAAAGAAATTGCACAGGTTTTTCTTAGAATAGGGTAGTTAAACACAATAATTCAAACTACTGTCAAGCCCATTTTCAACCGAAGTTCACAAAAAAACGTCTCGATCATGTGACATGGTAATGTCAACTGACAAACTTTAATCAATGATTCTAAAGAAGTTAATCATGAACAATTTTGGCATTAGTGCCACGTCGATTTTGATAAATCTGTCTAAAGCAGTTATCTCATCGTGCGAATAGGTAACTAATTTCGACGAATTTGTTTAAGTGCGTCCCGATTGAATAGCTGACTATCGTCTTTTACGTAATCTATGGAACGAGTATTTAACTGGACTGAAACATCGTGATTTGACAATAAAGAACCAGTTATTGTGGTAGAAACATTATTTGATTATCATTATTAACACAGTACTCAGGTGTTAAACAGCCCTCTAATCAAACCCCTTTATTAGCCCCTTTATCGAACACTGGTTGTAGTGGGTTTTAATTTGGGATCTATGAAAGTCAGGTGATCATGAAGAATCTGGGAAGGGTTTTTTCCAAGAAGTTTTGCCTAGAAACAGCAAATGCGCTTTGAGTCTTTTTTTATAGTTGGTGTATGTGTATGGTTTCTGCTTACAACTGTAATGGATTCAGAAAACCCTCGCCGAAATACAATTGGAACAAACCTGAAACATGACTGTTTGACAAAAAAGCTCGAGCTCGCATCCTTTAAGGACATTAGGCAAGATATTTCAACATTAAAAAACTTTGGATTCAAAAATACAACATGAAACAATAATCAATGAAAAAATAATCACAAACAATTTTTCAAAAATTCTACTTTCTTAATTCTCTGAACCCTTTGTAAAGTGCCAAAATATTGGTCAAATGATAGCAAATAATTCTACGAAAATTTCCATATTTAACCATTGATATGGCAATACGAAGTTCATCCAAATCTTCCTCGACCAATTTTCCTAAAGCTTTGCTGTAATCTATTGACTATTTGAATGGAACATTAGGTAAAAACCACTAATCTATCCATATACCTTCCTAATCTCCAGGATTTAAACTGAAGATTAACGATAATCTAATGAGAATCGTCATGTCTGAGGATTATCCTAGGCTTGACCTGTAATGTGACGTAACTTGACACATTTGTAAAATAATTGACGCTCAAAACCAACTTATTCGAACAGAAGTATTATTTTCATTTGGAAATAAAACAAAATAATATGGTATTTTACGTTCCTTGTTTTCTGATGGAAAAGCGTCTAGTTATAGAGGAGGTGCACGTTAAAAATCACAAAACAGTTGTTTGGATATGGATAAAAGAGAAAGCTGTCCTGGCAAAATTGCCCCCATTGCACCCGAATCTATGCTCTTGATTGAGCTTAATGTACTTGTGAACGATATAGACACTACAGATTTGGTCAGATCCTGACGAAACATGGCACGCGAAAGAATATTGATGATATTTGGAAATGGAAAGAGTATCCCTTTTCGCTACGATTCGCCAAGATTACATGTAGCAGAAAGTACAATTTTATTTTTTACTGAATGTTGATGAAAACTGGCATGCTTGTGTATACTGATATGACAATCTTACGAAAATACTTTTGCTTGTCACGTGTTTTGGGTGAAAATGTTTCGGTTAATGCTGAGGGATATTTTTTGTGAAATAGGTAGGCTTTACCATTTGATGACAAAAAGTAAATGAAATGAATGGAGTTTTACGTCCTACTTTTCTGCAAAGACAAAAAGTAAAGGTGCCATGAAATTTGAATTTGTTTGGTATAAATAGAACCTTTTTGCCGACCGTATTTGGTAAGATTTCGGACGAATTTTGAATGAAGATAATAAAAAAGACAATTTAAATATACATTTATAACTTATTCCCCTGTCGATCGGCATGTGAAATTGCGATGAATGCGAATAAGTCACCTTCACTCATTATTCCAGTCTACCCAGCTGTAAATGGGTACGGATAATCCGGGAAAGATCAATGCCAAGAGGTTTGGCCAAGGACCAGCTGGTAGAAAGGATCCTTAACTGAGAACCTTAGTTGTTATCCTTGTAATATATTTTCTTTCTTTAAGCACAGGTGAGGTTTATAAATCATACATTATGACATATTCAGATATAAATGTCTACCTTTATATTTTTATAGTATAAATAGCTTTGTGTCTGGATTCTTTTTATCTTCATATCGCAAAGTCATTTCAATTCTTTGCAAGCTTATTTTTCGCGTTTTCGCTTCCTTTTGTAATCTAAAAAGTTTTTCTACGACAGTCCTGTTCTAATGATGTCATATTTCAAACAATCAAAGTGTGGTTCGTAGGATTTGTTTGTCGATAACAATAACTATTGGAACAAAAGTATGAAATGAAATGGTCCTACCTTTCTGCATCATGTGGGCTAATGAAGACGGGCAACGCCATTGCTGGACAGCGACCTTTTCAATTTCTAACTGTCGGGGGATATCTAACGTGCACAGTCTGTAGCACATGAGTCCTCGGTTTATTGTCCCATCCGAACGACTGGACGTTTTTTCCTTGCCAGCCCTACCTGAATCACTGACAGGGAAAAACCGAGTTGAAAAATCCGAAGGTATTATCTGGACCCCGGGATTGAAACTTGGACCCTCAGATTAGCGAGCAAGCGTCTAACTCACTGAGTCACCGTGGCTCCAGAGAAACCAAAAGTAAAGCGGATATCAAGAAATGTATCATACTCGACACGCATTGTTGAAAATAACATTATTAGAACGGAACTGTGTTATTTAGAAAGGGCTGAGAAATAGCAGAAAAAAGAAACGAAATTGTTATGTAATTTTAATAAGATTGGATTCAATTAGGCATGTCCCCAATACACAAAGGCAGGAAATCCTCATTTGAATACGCATATTATCAAATCTGCCTGTTAATGTTGTGGGACTTTAGTTATCGTTCATTTTTTGAATTATTCTGTTTCCTGAAAATACGTTGATTGTGCCTTCAGTCTTGTTATATGTATACGTTCCTGTTTACCCATCCCCTGACATGAAGAGTTTCGATTTTGCCAAATTAATTCAAGGTCAGGCCAAAATAGAATTTTTATTGGAAGTCTAATTGGTATACTGAATTAAAGAATTATTGAATTATTATAAACAGTCAGATCATTTAGGGTAGTGAAACACAACTGTTAGAGTCAAGATAACTATTAGCAAGTAGGCCTCAAATTTAAGGTCTGAAAGATACGGCTCATAGGCACAGTATCTACAAACTGGAAAATGGAAATAAACATAAAATACAAAAGCGAAAAGTTGGTAACTTGATTAAGCACTTGGACCTACACTTCAGATAATATACCAAAATGCATACCTATCGGAACATTAATCCAACACACCTCAAATGATACCATAACTTTACATTTATTACTGTCGCACTGTCATATTGTCAAAGGATTCTTCATTTCCACAAAAACAATATTTTGTTGAACTAATAATTATTTCTTTATCTCTTATTTTAAGTTAAAACTGTTGAGAAAATAAAAATTTAATTTTTGAGATAAAATTTGACTAAACTTATCATCCTTATTTATGTGATCAATATGAATACCTTGTGGGAGTCCAGCTGACAAAGTCACAAAACTGTGCATTCATATAAAACATTTGACCCTGAATCTAAAAATTGTACTTGTGGTCAACTTTAAGTGAGCATACATCTTGTAATTTTGAATGAGCAGTTAAATACCCCCCTTCAAACTGACACGGTTTGTGTAAATAAACAAACAAATTTTTGTGTAAACGGGCATTTAACTTCCACCTCCATAAACCATGCATGATCCAGCTGCCAAGCAGGCCTACTGTCTGTATACTGACCAAGTGAATATTATCATTTATTTGTAATAAGATCAATAAATCTGCACTTTATAGACATTGACAAACTAACTTTCATGTTGAACCATATGATATGCTTACCCAGTCATACATGTACCGTGCCCAGTGTCCAGTAATGATATTTCCACCACTGCAAGTAATGGCCACCCATGCCTCATGTGGATTATTTGTCACAGCTTGATATCTGTTAATTTTTCCTTTAATGAACAATGCATGTTGTTTAAAAGCCCTCAAAGACCTGTAGCACTTCATGGATTCGCTAGTGAAAATGCCAGGTGATTCCACTAAATAACCATAGATCTGACCGAACTCCATCGTCGGTCACTTTCTAACATCATTTATCTATGTCGAATCTTCAATAAATGGATCTTCAATCAACGGATTTGCAAGACCAATAAATGACAACTTTCCAATATACGAACACATTTGCAATATGCGCTCATAGTTTATGCAAACGATACGTCGCCGCGTGATGCGCATGAGTTATCGGAAGAGGGGGGACTCCGTGATATTGACGCCAATGAAAAAGGTCTAGGAAGCTGTAGTTGGAAGTTGATTGCTTGGTGATTTCTGGGAACATATCACCCTTTTCCCGATAGGTAATGTTTTATATTAGATTTATATTGTATTCAAGTTATTAACCAATAAGTCTAGTAGGTCGATGACTGAACATGATCTCCTTTTTGAATTGTATAATACGAATGATATGAATTTTTCCGTAAAAGTGTAGCCTGAAAGTAATTGCCCCGTCATACCGCAAAGGCGTTCTTACAGCGCTACAAATGCGATGGAAAATTTATTCAGAGCTTATTAAGATCGCCACAAGCTTGATATTTGCATGTAGGACACCTTGCAATTGTCGCCATTATCACCACCGTGCAGCCAATAACACGCAGTTATTCGTATGTTACGTTACCATGATTCATTGTACCGCCACGGTGCAAACTGATTGAATTTTGTAAAATGGGTCATTATGGTAATTAACCAAAAAATATTAGTTCTTACAGCACAGAACGACTAGCTATTTCTGCAACATTGAATGACCTATATATATGGGAAAAGAATTATTTCTTGGAAATTTAAACATGTGACGTGGTTATTCGTGATAACTCGGGACCTTCCTATTGTGGCGTTATTATTTCGACTAGGAGTTGGTTGCAAAAGTTGTTGGTAATTATCTTTTTAGCTTCTATAATGAAATTATCCAGGGGAGGTCTGTGGAGTTCTACCACGGGGTGCGGTCTGAGGGCCATGAAATGGTTATGATTACTACAAAAAGAAAAAAGATTTTTGTTTAGGTAAGGAGAGAGACAAAGCTGGGAGAGCCTTATTGATCGTTGGGCCATTTTTCCAGAGCTGCTCAGTTCGTCCCTGAAGTATTCAACCAGCCATTTCTAGGAAATCGAAATCAGTAAATAACGGTCGGTAACATGGTTATTCGTAGAAATCTTTTCAATCAGCTTTTGTCGACTAGCCTTTTCTGCACACTGAATGACCCATATATTTAAAAGAGAAAGCTGTTTCTTGGTAATTTACACCTGTGAAGTGATTATTCGTGAAAAATCGATACCTTCCCATTGTGGCGTTATTCTTTCGGCTAAGTTGAGATTGAAACAAGGTGTTGGTATCTTTTTAGTTTCTATAATGAAATTATTCAATGGAGGAATGCATGAGATCCGACCACCGGGTGTGGTCTGAGAGTCAAGAATGTTCAGGGGACCTACGGCTATGAAAACTTATGAAAACAAATACTTTTTTTTGTTTCATTGAGTTCATTGGATAATTCAACATTCTAAATCCGATGGGAAAATAATGTGTTTAGGCAAGGCAATGAACAAAGCTGGGAGAGTCTTATTTGGCATTGTTCTTGAGCTGCTCAGTTCGCCCCTGAAGTAATCAACCAGCCATTTCTAGGAAATCGAAACCAATCGAAATAGTGGTCGGTAACATGGTCATTCGTAGAAATCTTTCTCGAATGTGTTTTAATACCTAAATGTTTTCTTTTCAACCACGACATCTCCAGTGCCTGTTTTATACTCGAATGTTCTATTTCCAACCAGAGCATCTCCAGTGTGTGTTTTATGCTCAAATGTTCTATTTCCAACCAGGACATCTCCAGTTTGTTTTATACTTGAATGTTCTATTTTCAATCAGGTCATCTCCAGTTTGTTTTATACTTGAATGTTCTATTTTCAATCAGGTCATCTCCAGTTTGTTTTATACTTGAATGTTCTATTTTCAATCAGGTCATCTCCAGTTTGTTTTATACTTGAATGTTCTATTTTCAATCAGGTCATCTCCAGTTTGTTTTATACTTGAATGTTCTATTTTCAATCAGGTCATCTCCAGTTTGTTTTATACTTGAATGTTCTATTTTCAATCAGGTCATCTCCAGTTTGTTTTATACTTGAATGTTTTATTTTCAATCAGGTCATCTCCAGTTTGTTTTATACTTGAATGTTTTATTTTCAATCAGGTCATCTCCAGTTTGTTTTATACTTGAATGTTCTATTTTCAATCAGGTCATCTCCAGTTTGTTTTATACTTGAATGTTCTATTTTCAACTAGGACATCTTCAGTGTGTGCTTATACTATTTTTTTCTCAACCAGGTTATCTACAGAGTGTGTTTTTTACTTGAATGTTCTATTTTCAACTAGGACATCTCCAGTGTGTGCTTATACTATTTTTTTCTCAACCAGGTTATCTACAGAGTGTGTTTTTTACTTGAATGTTCTATTTTCAATTACGACATCTCTAGTGTGTGTTTATATTTGAATGATCTATTTTTAATCAGGACTTCTCTAGTGTATGATTTTACTTTAATTTTAACACACCGGCATCATAATCTAAAGAGAATAATTATATTTAATAGGCATTATTCTTGTTTACTTTCAGAAACAGTAAAGATGAAATTCAATGAAACGCCGTTTGGTATTCCTGTTAACCAACCGTTGGGCCCACGTGAGCCATTATTTCAAAAGGCAAACAAGGTTTTTTCTGCCAGTTTCATGTTTCAGAGAGAGTGCGGAGTGTCCAACTGTTGTTCATTGGTCAATGTGGTTTTAAGACGATGCCTTCGTCCTTTAGGATTTGAAACAAATGAATTGCTTCAAGTTCAATATGGGCGGATTCAACGTTACAATCAAATGGATATGCCGCATGTGTGGTTAGATATTGGTGGATATGTCATAGATAATACCTATCTTGAAATACCTATAAAACTATTCACCAAGATGAAAAAATCGGCAAAATACGTACCATTTACTGATGCTGGTGATTTATCGAATAGCTTCCTTGGTGACGAAGAAACACGTGCAATGGGAATTCAAGACCATGACTATGAAGTTTATATATGGTGTTTAAATACTTCAAACGAGGAAAAATACATGGCCCTCTCTGGTAACAAGGCACAGCTGTTGGACTATCAAGCTAAAATGATGAAATTTATGAAGGAAACTTTTGATGTTGAGTTGCCAGAAGTAAAGAAGGAGAAAATCTGTTGGAGTTGTAATCAAGCATCAGAATCTTTGAAATCATGTTCTAAATGTAAGATTGCTCAATATTGCAACAAATGTTGTCAGACAAGAGATTGGCATAAAATTCATAAACGTGTTTGTCTTCCACCAAATACACGCTGAAGAGGAAGATGATTTAAAGGGACAGTTGCGCTAGTTTGGAGGGTTAATTTGAGTGTTGAATATATGTAAAGTCTTTAGAAGTACTAAAAATTTAAGAAAATGACATTATTCCTTTAAGAATTTGTTATTTCTATAGGTCTTTTCTATATATCACAGAGTATCTTAAAATGACGACGGGTCCATTAATGGTGCATCTGCAACTTAGACCAACCTTTTGTTCACTGAAATGTCTTACCTCAGCAATTAGATTACTTGGACAAAAGGTTATTTGAGGTGCATAAGACTAGTTTATCAAGTCCACTGAAACTGAACATTGTGCTGAACATTTCATTGGTTGTTCTGAATTAGCCCAAAGTTATTCTATTGGTTAAAGTAGAAATTAAAAATAAAAGCTTCCAAAAAAAAAACGGAACGAAAGTCTGGTTTAATATTAATACTAATTAAACTGGGGAGGGAGTGTTGGTGCTTGGCATTAGGCCGATAGAGAAACCCAATACGGCATACAGTGTTATCTTTTTATATATTGTAATATACAATAATGTCTGTAAACTTCAATAATAAAATAAAGTTTTTTCACTGTTAAAATAGTGCTCAATACAGTTAGCAATAATGAATGAATGTTTTATGAAGTTATTGCCCTTGATTTTGTAAAAACGCGTCAAATTTAATTTCAGTTTGCATAATTGTTAATTGGTGAGATATTTATATACTCAAACTAGACAAAGTGTTTAAACTACAAATGTATTATGAAGTTCTTTTATATGGGAAAATTCGTACTTTAGTTAATACAATATTACAGACAGCTGTCAGTCGGCGTATGTTACCCTGCCTAGAATGCTATATTTTTAGGATATCAAAAGGTCAAATATCCTTGCCAAGGATAGACGCACCACGTAAACGCATTGTAAGGGATAGGTCATAAATTTACGTCTAGCCTACATATTATCCAACACATAATCATAGCTCAATATTGGCACAATATATAATTTGGCCTATATCCAATAACCACTCGAAGTTTCAAGTTTGACTTTATTAAACGGCAATACTATAAAACAACGCTGTTTTAATATACTATAGGGGTAATAATTCATGCCTAATAAGATATGAATACAAGTTTATTAAAGGGCTCTAAAAGGTCCCCCACAGTTTAAATGTCCAATAAATTAAAGTTCATTTCCAGACGCAATCTGTTGAATATGATTACTGATTATATATATTCGCTCTTCCCATTTTCTTCTTCTTTCTATCCTTTATTCTTCGGTTCTAATTTTCCACTTCTTTACAAAGCTTTGAAAATTTCAAATTATATTGCCATGTCCCGGACAGAAAAATCAAATCATCTTGTCTAAAGATTTAATACTTATACGCAGTTGCGGGTGAACAAGGGGAAATATTCTGAACACAGGTCGAAGGTTTGGCCGAAATTTCTCACGAAATTGTATTTTTGTTTGTTGTCGGTATTTTAAGGTCGCTGTAAGAAAAGATTATATTGGCAGGAAGGGGGGGGGGGGGTGGTGGGGGTCTCACGGGGACGCTTATTATTCTGAAAAGTTATCTGGATACTTAGCGTTGTGGTAACTCTTTAAAACGATACTCTGTCCTTGGCTTGATCAATGAAGACGGGTAACGCCATACAGTATACCATGAGGGAAATTTGCGATTACGGGCCTTTAACTTTGGCGTAACTTTGACGTTTCTATATCAATTGCTCAATGAAAATTCCAGCGGTACAGTGTCGGAATAAGACTCACAGAGCCACATCAGCTGTCTTATTAAAATGATACGGATGACCAGTACGAGTTTTATTGTAGGTTTTATTGTAGGTAGATTTGGAGTAAATTAACCGGACAAGCAGGGTGACCTCTGATTAAATAACAAGAGAAACTCGACTAACAAATACAATTATATTATTTATAAAGAATGTTTTATTGTGTGGCAAGGTGAACGTTCGTTATACCAAAGTACACAGAATGGTGGTCAATAGGAGAAAGCTTTGGAAATTTGTTTACGATCACAAATGACTATCCTATCAGTAAAAAGGCAATAAAATCGTGTAATCTGAAGATCAATTTAAAATAAAAATTTTAGTAAATCTGAAAGTAATAATTTCAGTAGCTTGCAGAGATTTTATAAAGAGGAATCCGAGGAATCCGAAACGTTTTCTTGTAAGTCTGTATGGGTATCGGGTTTTTTTCAGAAAATGACCAGATCAATACGTCACTGGAATGGCCCTATGAAATTATGAATAGTTTTCAATTCACAAAATGCGTCTAGTCGTTCAGATGAGACAATAAACCGAGTCTTTATGTGCCACAGACTGCGTACTTAAAGATATCACTTTGGGACCACTTTTCGTTGCCCTTTCTCATTAGCCCAACCAAAGAAATAGGTCGTAAAACACCATGCACGGAACATTTTATTTGCTAATCTTGTCAGGTTTTTCGTTGCTGTCTCATGACAAAACTGGCAAATTTAGGATTACCTTTTATCAGCGGGGTTTCTTTATTCTCTTTGACACTATTCAAAAACTAAGTCGACATTTTATATTATATTTTACATAAAAACTTAAAGTGAACCAGTGAAATGGTCAGTTAGCTTCAATAATGGTTAAGGTTCATTAAAAAGGTCGATTATTTAGTTCGTTCCGTGACTTGACACCAAAGTAATGTTTGCTATTGGTTTAAAGGGTCATTTCCAAACTAAAACAGCTTTACTTCGTCTTACACTTGATTGCAGTAGTCACCTTTCTTGTATCACCGATTGCTGTAATTTTATTGGATTGTACGCCAACCAACGAAGCCAATCAGAGCCCTGGACTCTCTGTCGGGGACAGATTTGAAAGGATGTTTCGTCCGTATGTTGTCTGTAATAACACTGAATGGAATATAAATGGAGCGCAACCATGGTGGCAATCTGTGAATAAGGTTAATTAGAGCATCAACAATTTTTACTCTGAAATCTAATTGTGTCCTTAAAACGTAAGGTTTTATGCGAATATGAGTGTGCGTATGCGTACAGAGACCTTATTGAGAAAGTTGTGAAATACACAAACCATTTGGTTTTGGAAAAACATCTTCATCGTCATCAATTAGTAACAGACTAAAAAATCGAAAATATCACAATTCTTTTTTTCATTAAATCTTTGATGGTGTATATCAACTAAGTCTGGAACAGGGAAAGACCCTTAAATGAAAATCAGAAAACATTGTATCAAAATATTTATCTTCGTTTAATATCTTTTCAATTACTGTTTTTTACAATAACAAATGGTGCAAATCGTTATGGTGACTTGCGAAATTAGGCACGCAAAAAGTCTTGACATTGTCTTCATGGGTTGCTATAAAAAAGTAATTGTGGGCTACTAAACAAAATGTGGATATTCAAATGTTAGGGTTAATTCTCAAAGAATACAGAATAGTGAAGTCTTTAGTCATTAGTTCGAGCAGGGTACATTCACCACACTTTCTATTTCTATATAGTCTATTTTCTATATATGACATAGTCTCAGGAAAAGACGAGTCGTCCTTTTAATTTTCAAACGCGCATAATACTGCACATTGATATGAAGGCTAATATTTCAACAGCAAACTGTGAACACTATTATCCCTTTATTACTTTCTGAGAGTAAGTTACGATAGGTAAAATGAATGGGGAACCTGTCCTTTTAAAGCCCTTTTTCTCCAAAAAAGAATTTAGGCGTAGAGTATAACTGATATCTAAAGAGATTGTAAAGGGGTTTCGGGATTTTATGCACAATCTGTATTTGGTTTATCTCATTGCTTCTATTTCGACCATGCATTTCCCTTGCGAAATCTTTAGTTGATATTATTCCAGAAAGCTTGAAATTGTAGTGTTGGTGGAGGCACATTTGTGCATCGTTGTCTCGTTGTCATCCACGAAAAACAAAACCAAATCTTGGATTTAGACAGCCTAATTGAAATTTAACCAAACTATTGTTACGTTTTATTAGCTTTTATGTAGCCCCTTCAGTTAGGGTCTGAAGAGTGCCTCTTATGTCAAAATAACCTTTTGATCTAACCCTACTTTAACCAATCAATTTCTGCCCGCTTCTGTGCTGGCCTTTTGAGAGTAAGTGAAGGAATTTGACAGAAGCTGATGTCATCAGATTTGGTCAAAAGGTTATTTCGACGAAAGTTTTTATTAAACATAAAAGCTACTAAAAAAGGGAACGCAAGTTTGAAATTTCGAAAAAATTTAGATTTGAATGTGGAAATTGTCTTCACAAAAGAAAATTCTATTTCATTTTTCATGATTCAAGAGCAAAATGTACAGGATTGAAGGATATTTGAATGTAGTCAAGATTTCCCATGCCCTTCCTTATTTTGATATGTTACATTCGACCTTCAACTTGTTATTTATTTTAATCATGCACTGATTATTATCATTTGAAATCTCTGCATACTAAGTGTTGTCACTAGAGGCTAAAGTTATTCTTACAAGATTTCTAGATATATTATTAAAAATTTTATAAGTTATTTAAGATAGATACATTCTTTAATTATGAATGTCTTTATAAAGAAACTTGCCAATTAACATCTCCTATTTGCTTTATGTAATATAAAAGGTGATAACTTAAAGTAGCACCTTCACTATCCGTTCGACCAATCGAACCTTAGTTTCAAATCCATATGTATCCATAATTATTCACGTTTTAAAGTTAAAAATTCGACTCGAATTTTAGTGAGACTATGCCATATATAGAAAACACATATATTGGAATATACAGTGAAAGGTTGAGGTATATTTGAAGGGATATATGCGATTTTCGTGCTTTTCAGTACTTCTTAAGACTATTAAAGCACAATAAAAACCCAAATCAATCCCCGAAAATGCAGACTGTTCCCCTTTTGTAATTTTCATATCAGGAATTGGCTGACTTTGGCTGACTATTAGCAACTACGTGATATACTTGATAGTCGCAGATTTTAAAAAACGCCGATGTCGACAAGATCCACCTTTTGCTACATTGTAGAACATAT